CACACGGCGGAATATTCATAGCGACGGTGTGCCGGTTCGCGACGAACATCGAAAGCGATATCTGAAAAACGGTCGACGGATCAAACAAAAAACCAAAATGGCACCGACGACAGTACGAGAGAACATAGTTGAATGCGGAGCGGTCGGCGGTGGTACGGCGCTGCAATGGCGACGCCACGTCATCATCACAGTCCGGGATACAAAGTTAGCACCGCGCGGCGGATATAAAATTGGGTCCCCAAAGAAACCACGCCGGCGGGAACTTTTGAATCAAACTTGTATTCAACAATAGTAGTTATGTTGATTATGGTAGAAATTATATACGACTTTTAAATGGAATTATTATTGCGAAGTATTAATAAATATTATATTGAAAGATTATTTTTGCACTATTGAGTTAAAAAAGAATTATTATTGAAAGTTATATTGAATATTATTTTGCGCTCATTGTTTATCGAGAATTATATTGAAGATTAAATAAATTATTACTGAAGTTAATTTTATTTTTGCACGTACAATTATTGAATCATATGTATTATTAAATATTATATTGAATTGAAATATAAAGATTAAAGCGCGTATACGTATACTGAGTTTAAAAGAAAAAGAAGATTTTTATTGTTGGTTATAAATCTAAATTTGAAATAAACGAACAATATGCAGAAATATTCCATTTAGAGGGGGGGTAGCCTAACCTTTATAATGCAGCGAAACACTTAATAAATGTAAAGAAAGGCCAATTTATCGACGATCTTATCGATTACCGTATAGTTAACAAGAAGAAATAAATTCTCAAATTCGAAAAATAGAGGAAAATGGTATTATAGATTAATTCATTGAGTTTTTGGTATGTACCTTTACTTTTAGTTTAAAAAATGCAAGTAGAGAAAGAAAAATTTAAGATAGTGATATGTTTTAAAGCTTTAAACAAGGTAACGTTAAACAAGTTTCATTCACTGCCTAATATAACTAAAATATTAGACCAGTTAAGACAATGACAACTATTTAGCGTTGAAAACGTTTGGTTTTAACCAAATCCCGATACCTAAATCATCAAGCGAATTAACAGCCTTTTCCACAAATCTTGGATTGACGAATGACAATATGTATGAAAACTTCGCCTGCCACTTTCCAAACATTGATGAATAACGTATTAGCGGAAATATTCGGAATAAAATGTTTAATACATTTAGACGATATATTGCAAAAGAAAAAAATTTAACCAATCATAATTACAAATAACGCGAAGTATTTGAACGTTTTTGAATAGATAATTTAAAAATACAATCGGACAAATGCGAATTTATAAATGTTTGTATTTAGGTCACGTAATATCTGACGAGGACATAAAATCGGATCTTAAAAAAGTGAAAGCTGTTACGGACTTCCCAATACCTAAAAATGTGAAAATAATTAAGTCATTTTTAGAGCTAGCAGGTTAATATCGGAAATTGATTAATAATTATTATAGCTTTTCAGCAAAACCATTAACTACTTTACTCAAAAATGACGTTAAATTCAATTGGAATGAAAACTGCTAGAAATTATTCGATCAATTAAAAGATGCTTTATAATCTGAACCAATACTTAGTAAGTGTATATGTTTAGGCCGACATTCGGGTATAGAGGAAGGGCCCTCGAATAATGTTCAAAGAAAGCAGCCGCAATGCGAACGGCTATAGTGAGAATTGTATATTAATGTAACACGTAAATCAAGATGATCACCGATAAGAACACTTGTGCACGTATTCTATCAAGACCTGGATACATGGGCAAATGAGCAATATTATCGTTCGACCAAACAACAACATATTATTTTCGAAAAGCCTGGACTGAGCACATCTAGCTGGGGGGTCCAAGGTATATATTATACCGGCCACCAAGAACGTCTTTTCAAACTAGTTTTGACACTATCATTTACGAGCACCTTCACATCAGCTAATTTGTAAAATTAATTAAAAAGGGTTTGATTATTTTCCAATAATAAATATTCTAATAAAATTATTGTGTACAATATTTCCGACTTCGGTCATAAGTAAACCTGACTTGAGACTGAAAATACGCCCACAACAATAATATTAAAAACATTTTTAAGTTCATTTAATTTAATCAAATATAATATGTGTAATTGGTAAAGTGACAAGACAACATAAAAAATTGTGATAGTATTTCTATTGGGAGATTATACTGTAGTAAATTTAAACTAGATTTCTTTTTCAATTTCTCTATCGGACTTTAAATATTATATCCATAGGGTTAGTTTTCTAATTTACTGTAAGCCAAAAATTATCCTTCTATAACTCAAGTTATTGATATTATTTACAGCATATTATAATTTGTTCATTATATAAGTGTATAATATATTGTTTAAATATTGTAAAATCTACAAAACACAAACGAAATCAACTCAAGTAAGTTGATTTTATCATCTAGTTTTGGGGTACATTACTGTCTGCTAACTCAGAAATATAATTGAACATATGAAATTTTTTTTTCTACTGTTTGTTACTATATCAATACAATTGTATATTTTTTTAGCAAATCTGGTATAATTTTGAATGGCATCTGTAATGATACAACATTAAGTGTATGTTTTCCTCAAAAGAGTTGAGTGTTAAAAATATATTCATTATAATGTTGACCAAATTCTTAGTAATTACTGTTGGTACCTACTATATTAGATAAAGAATATTTTCTTTTCTTTGAAGACCAGTTAAAAATTACATAAAATGGTGCTTCTAACTCAACATTGTGTAACATTGATGAGTTAAGTGATCTCGTATACTATTTGACAAATGCAATAATGTGTGTGTTTAAATTCAAACACATATTTAGGAGGCTGAAAATAAAAAAAAAAATATTATCATCTTGCATATTATCTTCATTTATTTTCTATTTTTTTCTCTTTTTCAAGAATTGTGATTATTTTATAAATCACTTATAGCAGTGGATCAGTTGGAGCAACCATCATTATTTCACAAAAACTCTGGTCAAAATGAAGTCGACATAATTTGGAAGTTTTAGTTAATTTAAATAATGGGTTGTATTTCTTAAGAGTTCATTTATGTAAATAATTTAATTTAATTATTTTAAAATTACATTAATTCAGATTTGTGTGTTTATACTGATTGTGGGTTGCTGTTGAAATAATAATAATTTATTAGATTATGTGTATTTTGGTAAAGTTAGTGGCTTTTAGGTATTGCATACTCAAAATTATTAAATTGTGTTATTGTTTTACTTTTGAAATAAATAAACAATCATAATAAAGATATCATGTGTTCTTGGTTCATGGTATAATAAATAATTCACTGTTGGTCGTGAAATAAAAGGAATTGGTTCTTAAAAGTAGGTTTTTACAATATAGAATTTTAAGTAAAAAATAAAATAACAATAAAAAAAAAATTATTACACATTGTTGTTTTAAGGTGCCAGATCACAGTTTTATTGTCTTGGTACCTTTACTTGTTAACGGATGGTTCAGTACTTATATTTATGTTCAAATGCAGTTTAGACTCTAAAACAATAAGGATAGACACAGGTTTTTATTATCAACTATATCAATAACTATTCTATTATATGATTTTATTAATATGTTTAACTAGAATGAAAGAAGTATACATTCCCGCTTTTGAAACTGGATGTCATGTAAAATTAAATGACAAAACATGAAAATCAGGATCAATGATATAATAATATATTATTATTTCTTTATAGTTAACTAATTATTTTTCAGACATCAAACAAAATAGTTAAAATATTATGAACTTAATTTATATTATGATATAAGGTCAATTTTTTAAATTCATTAATTGTATACAATTTCATAGATATTACTTCTTTTTTAAAACTAAAATAAATACAAATAAACAATCATAGATTTATTTTACACCTTTCTATGTATCTACATTTATAATATTATTGATATATATTTTAGTATCTACTACCATGATTGTATTTAATAATTATAGTTACTGAGCATGTACAAAGTGTCTTCAGATTTTTTTTTTAAACACCAAACTAAACCGAATGAATTTCCCCATTCAGACAGTAGATGAGACATTGCTAATACCTTAAATATAAAATACAACAATATTTATTTGCAAATAAAACTCAAATTTACCATTCTGAAAATACGAGCTGCCTCTTCATACCTCTTCACCAAATTCAAGACACTATTGAGTTTTTGGTAACAATATTTAACAATTGACTATAATATTCATACAAATTCAATATAAATATTATTAAATTTATCTACAAGGCCTGATCATAACAAAATATTTTTATATTACCTGAGTATAATGGAACCAAGAGCATAGCAATCAATTATTTGGATATATTTGCTGGACAGCATTTATAAGAACATACAATAACAAGTTATTAGTTACAAAACAGATTTCATCATAATTCAGAAGAAAGATATTGTGAATGACATTTAATAATGCAAAGTATGTTTCTTCAGTCTTACTTCCCAGAAAGACATACACCATTAGAAATGTCTAAATTGTACAAAAAGAATATAGTATACCATTATATTATCAACAACATTAATAATTAATATTACCAGAAAAAATGCCTTACTATACTTTTGTAGAGCATTTGAAATGTAAGAAAAACTTCGCAAGTCATTTGGTACTTGAGGAATGTTCCATTAATGGCGTATTTTCAAAATTTTTGATTAAATGTTGAGTGTTGTTTAAATTTTTTAAGTGATTTTATAATACTATAAATTCCGAGATAATTACTAGTTCATAATAAAGAACCATCCCGTATAAATCAATATTTTCTTTCTCTATACCATCGTATCAAGTCATTTATGAACCATTTTTTTTTCTTCTCGGGGAGGAGGTCAAGACCTGAGAGCCTCAATTCTTGATTGAAAAATGCTGATGGAGAAATATGAAATGTAAAACGTTAAATTGCATTTTGGGATCCGCTCAATATTTCTGAAAGTTCGTAGATGTCTTAAGTCAATTGTGGATGCCTTGGGTTTTAGTTACTTGATAATTTCGCTGATATAAAGTCTTTGAACTGAACTCAACTGAGAGATCAACAACTCTTTCACCGAGTGTATCCCTTATGAATGGTACATATAAATCAATTACTACTGATCCATGATTGTGAGAAGTCACAAAGTTGTTCAGCTCATTTCTACTGTTTGATGCTGAACCATGACACATAAGGTAGCTGGGGTTTTTTTGTCGCTCACAAATTAAAGTTACTCTATTGATGAGTATTTTCTTTTGATAATATTTAAATCCCAAATTATGCACATATAATTTTGAGTTGAGGCGAAGGCCGGGAATTATTCTATATGTTTCTGATTCTGCATTTAACACAATTTCTTGTTCTTTTTCATGCATTGATTCTTCCTTCTTTTTCCTGTACTAGTTCTTTTTCATCTTTATGTGCTGATTTTTCATGTCCGGTTCTCTTTGTTCTTCTTGATGTACCGGTTCTTTTTCTTCTTGTTGTACTGGTTTTTTTTCATACTCTTTATTTTGTATTGATCTATCTGCTTCCTGTTGTGGCTGAATTTGAGCTATAGGCAATTGTTGGACATAGGTGTGATCTTGCAAGTGGATGTTTGAGACACCAACTTTTTCTTCTTCTGCATGATTGGCTGGAATTACATAATTGTGATCATGCAAGGCCATTTTAGAATGTATATGCTGGAAAAAAAAACTTAAAAAATATTAAACAAGCAAAATAAATAGAAATTATTAATATAACTAGTTGGTCTTCAAAAAAGCCGTTTTTTATATTCACAAGTAAGTCACAGGTAAATCGCAGGTAGACCAACTGCATAAAAATTAAAATGTACATTAGTATCACAGATATGATCATATATCTAATAAATATAATTATTTTTTTTGGTTGCACTTACATATTACATTCATATAATAAACGATTTTTAACATAATGTATTAATAATTATTTGTTTTACATAAACTGAAGTTGTTTTAGTTAAAAATAGATAATTTGGGTGATCAAAGTAAAGATTAATTAATAATATTGTTTTTGTGTTTTTCACAGTTCAATAAACTATAAATTAATTTAGCATAATTAAAAACAGTAAAAAATACCCTAACTTTTCCAAACAGAACTGTTTACATTGTTTACACACTAACACAGTTTTATTTAATTTTTTGTACAATACTATATTATTGAAGGTCCATTCAAAATAATGTAATAACATTTATTTGCACTAAACCAAAAATAGAGGGATGATTTTATACAATATCATAAGCAAAAATATCTTTCAAGATCATAAATGATAAAATAACTATTTATAGTCAAGTGAGATACCTACAATACAAAATTGAAAATATCATTGCTTATATATGCTTGTAAATTCAATTTAAGACATAATATTCTTTGATTTGAAATTTATTTTAATAAATAAGTTAGATATTCTAATGTAAAAATTAAGTTACAGTTCAAGGAACCCCCAACTATCCCAAAATAGTTACTTAAATTTCACACTAATCATCCTATAATTATCCCATTTTATTTTCGAAGGGATAGGCTTGAATAACACATAAAATATAACATACAACCCTGTAATACAAAGTTAAATATTTCAGGATATGTCACCAAAACAGTCATCACAACAAGGTCCATTTTTTATTGCATAAAACTAAATTAACATAGTTATATAGTTATTATTAACCAAACCACTAAGTAAAATACAATGTCCATGTGGACTGTCATTCTGATTATAGTTATGGAAAAGTTACAGTCTAACTTAAACGATGTAATAATCTAATTTTCTACCATTGCACATTCATAACACCTGTATTGCTCTAATAAAAAATAACAAACTTTATACCAATTTTATAAAATGCATTAGGTAATTAGTATACAATATAACAATAATTAATATTTAATTCATCTGTAAATTCTACCATTTAAATAAAAACTTTAAATTACTAGTTATTTTTTAATATATTTTAGTAAATGAGATAGAATATCATAAGTAACCCACTCAATCATACAGTATCTAAACTAAATATTATAATATTAATATATTATTAACAAAATTATGCTTCTATTTTCTAAGTAAAAATTCCTATACTATATGTTAGTTGTTTGTATAAGTTTGTGATTATTAATTAATCATTTATTAGGTATTAGATTAACAATTAAAATTACTAAACTGTATTAAGGATAAACTTTGTTTAGAATTTTATTTATTTTATTTTATTTGGCTGAGTTACATTATGAGTTAAAAAAGTAACTTCATGACCGTTAAAGTTCTTTTTGTTTACAAAAATATCTCTAGAACCTAATAATTATTTTGTTGTAGATACTAACCAATGCCAGCGTATAATATGATTTAAATAAAACGTTTATTTAAGAACCAAAGATGACAATAATAATTGTTTAACACATTATATTCATTAATTTTTAAATTTATTTAAAATAACAAAGCATTTTCCAAATTACTAATTTAAAATTAAAACTTAATAAAAATAAAGCTTTTTTGTCGAATAAATATTACAAAAATGTTATTGTAAATATATTATTATAAAACACGGACGACGTTTTCTACCAGAAAAAATGATTTAATCGAAAAATTATATGATACCTTTTTTGTTGCCTTTTTGGTTTACTTTCTTACAGTATCATAGCCAAAACTTTTGAGTCACTATTGAGCTTTTAAAGAATTTAAATTTTTGGGAGTTTTTTTACTGTAATTCGGTTATAAATACACGTAGAGACTTGTTAATAACACTTATATTGGACTTACTTAGACGTAGCAAATTTTCCAAAATCATCGGATGACTTATTTTCTTTTTAAAAAGCGTTTTGAAATTAAATTTAAACAAAAATTGCAAACAAAATTACGGCGCTTCTAATTATGTATTACCAATCTATGCTCGGAATCGTCTTTCGTCAAGCAATGGTTTATCGTTACTTACAAATATAAATGAAATAACCTTACGTATCTTACCTTCTTAACTTTTCACCTACAACAGTGGCCACTCCCATTCCCAGTATCAGCTGTTTTTTTATTTGAGGATCGAATTCTTAATTTTGGCTATCAGCTATAATTTCTTATCACAGGGCCAAATTCTGATAACGAGACTGAACTGATCACCTCATCCCCATATAACCTAAGCTCTTTGTTATTGTCCTTGGCTGAATTTTAAAACCTAAAACATTTATACCTAACCTTAAAATATTATAGTCATTAAAAAAACATAGCAAAATAAAAAAAGAAGAATATTGGTAAATACTCAATAGTCCGTGTATGATCATTATTCTTGTTTCTAGCTAATAGCTAGTCGCTCTATAAATATAACTACCTTGAAAAATTAAATACAAGCCACTTATAATATAATTATTTTCCGTGATCTATTTATGATAAATATTTTGATTGGGTGTACTTTAAAACACTGTTTTATATTCTACTAATCCATGCTGTCCGCCGAATTAATCATTCCTAGTTGGCAGCGCCTACTTGTCCCATTCCGGTGTGAAAAGCGATGTTATCACGTAACGCGGCTATTTTATTCCCTAGATCAATCCGTTCCGTAGTTTTCTTCATTATTGTAATCAAATCCAGAGATATTCCTGAAAGTTGGATTCCTAAGTCCGAAACAACATTCAATTGATTTTAAAACTTAATATTCGGTTTTTTTTTTTTTTGTACTCTGGCAAACCAGTTACGCAAAATTATGAAGTTGCAATTGACAATAAAACGGTAAAAGCCTTTACGGATAATTTTTTGTGATCACTTTTCGTGGCATTCTAGAACTCCTCAGTTTTAATTATAAAAAATAATCATATCGAAAATGTTGTTTACTAATTTTTTTTTTCCCAAATTCCTCACGACACCCTTCGCACCGGTTCATGAAACCGTTAAGTTCCGCGGAACACCAATTGGGAAACACTGCCCTAAATAACCTCGGTTATTACTTAGAAACTATTCATCGGATATAAAATGATACATTTATAATATGTTATATAAAATATAATATAAAAATAAACTCTACAGAATGATTTTTTTAAAAATTTCCGAAAATAATAAATTAAAGTTTTATTTTTTTATTTTTTTTTTTTTTACTAAATAACAAAATTTAATTAAAAAATAAATAATTGTAGTCCTCGTTCCTGTGAGTAATATAAAAGAATTTGATTTTCTTTATTATCTCCAGAGATATTCTAGGGGTATATCTTCATTATTATTTTATATTCTGAACTTAGCGAACAATGTATTGATTTTAACGAAAGCAATCTTTCTAAAAGTAAATCTGACTGAGGAGGTGCTTTAGAGAGGTAATTTTCTGATTTCATCATGATTTTTCTCAACAAAATGTGATAAACCGTGAAAAAAAATAAATTTGTAAAACCATAAGCTTCTTCGCTTCATTTAGAATCTAAAATAATGATGATAATAATAATAATAAACATTTTGAACATCATAATCATAATCAACACTTTAATAAGTAGCCTAATTGGTAATATTATAAATAATGATCACTTGAACAATATTAATAATCATCATACTTATAACAACCATTAATAATAATAATAATAATAAAAAGTTACAAAATTTAAATGCTTATATATAGCTCAAAAATGACCCAACATTTTTGAAAATTTGTCCACGTCTTTACACTCAGAATCTAAAATGCATTAAAATTCATAATAAAACGTTTAAACTACTGTTCTGTTATTTTGTCCATCAGAAAAAAATTGCATTCTCTTATATTATTTTCAATTGTGAGTGCCAAATTGAGAATATTTGAAAATATTGGTGAATGGGTACTTGATAGATTGTAGACGGTCTGTCGGTTATTTTATAATAATTTCGTCACTTTCGCCTAAGACCGTTGTATAAGCCTTTAGATTAATGAATTCATAAACACAGAGCTATAGAACTACGATTATATTGTGCGTAAATTGTAAACGCGTAATTTGATTCTGTACTCTGAAGTCCCTATTACGCATGCGCCAAAAATATAATCAATATTACCGAACTGCGTATTTACATTCTATACGTGAATCTATAGCACCCGGTGCCAAATCGCAGTATAATTCGGAGTTACCATTTCAGTTTCATTTTATACATGAATTTGGCATTTTAGCATGACTCGTCATATAATGGCTTACATTGTTTTATTATTATTACAGACCAAGAAGAACTATAAAATATCATATACAATTATTATATGTTAGTTTATTAATATTATAATAATTGTTATAACTAGTTGTTATTTTTTGCAATTTATTTTATTTTGTCTGTATTTTCATTAAGTAGTTCTTATCCAATATTAATTTACTTAATATTGCATTGTTATTATTTATATTAATTTCATCTTCTACCCCAATCTCCATATTTAAGTTATAAATGCAACTGTGAATATTTACATTATCCAAGTTATTATTTTCTTTATTATTTAACGTTTACACACTCAATCTTTATAGTGCCCATGTCCATTTTATAAATAAACGTATTATCAAAATTATTACCTACATCCTTATGTATGAAACGAAATAGGAATTACACTCCGGAATATACTCTGTTTTGGTACCAGGTACTAAATTCGTGTATAGAACGTAAATACGCTGCCGGGCTGCGAAGCTTTGGAGTGACGTAGAGTCTCATTGATTTGCGGGTGCTCAGTCGTTCAGTAGGTCACTACAA